ACGGCGATTTCTGACAAAGTCGTTTTCAGTCGTTTTTTGGCATTCAGAAGGCCATTTAGCTGAAATGGACCATAGTTTTATACTCAGTGCTCATGCCCCTATACCATGCAAAAAACCATTTTCAAAAAGCGTTCCACGCCCTGAAAGACCTTCCTCGTAAGGGACGCAGTCAGATTGAAAAACAGTCAAGATAGGGCAGTAAGGGCCACAAAACCGGCTTAGCCTGCAGACCACCCAAAGGGGGCAAGTTGTCAAGTTTTCTAGAAGCTGTAAAGGTAGCGACATACGCACCGGGACCAACACCTTATATGCTGGTAGCGTATTGCAACCAGCTGTGTGCAATGAGGCGCGAACAGCTCGTCCAGGTACCCCTTCCATTCCGTAACATTCTCGTCCAACCCCTAATTTCACTCCTTTCTAGAAGCTTTGTATTTCTCTGAATACGCCGATTATCGCGTTTTTATCACCACTTTTGCACTGTTCTGGACCATAATTATCGTGAACTGTGCCTTTAATGTAAGATAATAATAATCATTGAAGTAGCCATGAGCTGGAGATTCCAGAATACAGGCGCTCATCCTTTGTCTGGAAAGTGGGAGAAAATTGTGACTGGAATTTTTCAAAACCATAGCTCTCACGTTTATTGTGAGTAGCACTACCCGTGTGCATTTCAGTTTCGTGGTTCAGAATCGGATGTGGCCATTCTTACGGGATCTGTCGTTCAGTTGAAACTGTCCTGCACTGGTTTCGCTCCTGACGAGCACTGCCTATCGTTCAGAGTGGCTGGAGTATCCGGTTCGTTGCAATAAACTTGATGGTTCCCCGCAATTGTTGAAAACCCTGTTCCAGGTTCCAGTCCTTACCTTCTTCCTTCGACAAGTTCAAGAGCTGAACTGCTATTCATTCTCGTCCTAGCCTTTCTTCTAGCGCTTTCCATTGCCGGATCATTTGTGGTGTGGCATTTATGCTGGCGAATCAAAAAGCGGCAGCTTATTTCCGACATTCAAATGCAGTTCTTGTTTCATCTACAGCAACAGCATGAGGCTCAAAAGGTAACGGTAGAAAACTGGCGAGAATCTTTAGCATTAGATGCATTCGATTCAGATAGCAGCACCAAGAGCAGCAGCAGCATCCAATGAATTGGGACCATGCGAATTTAAAACACTCATGGAACGAGTCCCTAAGCGACGGCTATACTTCAGTGCTGGTGAATTATTTGCACTGTCTTTACAGCACTGGGTTAAATGAATGATGAAAATAATTTATAGAGTACCTGGATGATGCGATGATGGCAAACCCCCCACCCGTGGCTGAACAATTTCTGGCAGATCTCCGACGGGTAATCGAAGTGGCCAGAGAACGGATAAGGATGCGTCGATTTGTCCCGATGCTTATCACGATCCCTGAGGATCACGAAGAGGTAGCAAACAGCTAAATATTCGCTTCTTCACCCAAATGATATACAGTGATCTTTGAGAACCGGTATGCGGTAATCTCGGAGACCAAATCGGAGAAAACTGAGCCGACCAATCAACAAGAGTCACCTAAAAGTGACAAATCGGTGGACAGCGGGAGGGAATCACGCTCAGACTCAGACGACTCGAGTCGAGACGATGAGGATGATCATCCCATCAAAACCAAGCAGCCGTGGATGGAGCCCTCAGGTCCAGAACGCATCAGCAGTGTACGCAGCATCGTTAGTGGTATGGTTTTTCTGAGATTCCATATGATTAAATCTTGATGTGCTTAGGAACACTTTCAGGTTTCGAATCGCGGTCATCAACCCCAGCGCAATTGCCTCCGACGTCGTTACCTCAGCCATCAGCCCCCCAATCTTCGTTGCCCAAACCTTCGCGGATCCCTCCTCGTATTCCAGCAAAACCTCGACTTCCCAACTCCCAGATTCCCACCCTTCTGGGACAATCTAGTCCACGACCCTTGCAGAAGAGTCTAGCGCTGGCTCGGACTCCGTCCTTGCCCAAGACGTCTCCTCCTCGTGTTTCGACTGAACAGAGGTAGGCATTACTGTTTTGGTTTACATATGTGGTCAGCATGCCTCGGGACTATAGAGAATTAAATCGCGGACAAGAAACACTGTCGTCTTCGGGGTATAGTGGGCCACCATAAGTTGGGTGGGGAATGTTGTTCATAGCCTAATCGGAGAAAAAGAAACAGTTAGCTTATGAGTTATGGTCGAAATGCGAAGTAACAGTAGTGCAATCAGTAAAGTCCGCTGTAATGAATAAAAAATTTGCTCACAGCTAAATAGGCTGCAACCGAAAGTGTATTTACCTTGATAGACCAACTATATTGATTTTTGAAAAACTCTTCATGAAGAAGCAATCGCTGGTTTAAGGTTGAGCTTGAATTCGCGGATTTTTGAGAGATAGATTGAAATGATTTCCTTGCAGGATTCGTAAAGGGTATGCGGTGTTCCCGGCTGACCCGATGTTGAATAAATCTCTGCCGAGGCGAAAGAGAGCCATTCCACGACCGGTCCATGAAACAACTACTACTTCCAGTTGATCCGGCAAAAATTTAACAACATCTGGGAGTTATGCACTCAGGACAAACGAGAAGAAAGAGGGTCATTTCACAGCGAGTAAACCTCGCGGCTATCCTGAAGAGACTATGTCTGCTCAGGAGATCCAATTGCAACTTCGCAACTTCTGGCGTGAAATGCTCTTGCACTCTCATGTGATCTCTTACTGTTGTGTTTTCACTTCTTCTGTTTTCTGTCTTCTTGTCCAAAGACCACAAACGGGTTTCTGCTTATCGCTTATCGTTTCCGATTCAATGAACCATGATGCACGTTTATTATTGACAAAAAAGCTCAAAATAAATTTGATTTCGTTTC